AAGCCTCCCGATGACTGGGCTTAAGACCAGCTCATCGAGAGGCTTTCCTCCCGATGAGCTGGTACACAGACCAGCTCATCGGGAGGAAAGCCTCCCGATGACTCGGTTTAAGACCAGCTCATCGGGAGGTTTTCCTCCCGATGAGCTGGTACACAGTCCAGCCCATCGGGAGGGTTTCCTCCCGATGAGCTGCTATGAGCAGTCGTCGTCTCTGGGGCATTGACGGCCTTGGTGATGTACTCTTTCCAAGGACCTACCAAGTCCACTCCAGATCGGTCACAAACTCCAAAAAAACGTTCCACGGGCGATTGGGTACACGACGAAAGCTTGATAGCTGAGCAACTGGCGCGTAGCTTGGCCTTCCTCGGACCGCAAGGGAATCAAGACCTGCGAAATGCGTTCGTGATCATCATTGGTCTTGGTGGCGTCGGTAGCTCCGCTGCTACTTCCCTTGTTTGTAGTGGAGTCGGCAGAATCAGGTTAATCGACTTTGATCAAGTTACTTTATCTTCGCTAAATGTAATCCAGTCTCAAAATCAAAACCAATCAGTCGTCAAAAAAAAGCCCAACGTTTGCGCCTTCCTAATTCTAAGAGATTAATAGCTGAATTCCTCCCTCCCTAATCTGAATCGGATGTCGATTCTGATCAGAGGCATGCAACAGCTACACGGGAAGACGTGGGGATTGCAAAAGTAGTATCATGTAAAAACTTTTATCAGAAAATCACACCTTGGCTGAAAATAGAAGCTCTGGTTGAACAATTCACATTATCGGATGCGCTGGATTCACCGCCGCCGTCCCATAGGACCCATGCCTGGGTCCTATGGGACGGCGGCAATCCTAAACGCATATGTACATATACATATGCGTTTAGGAATCCTTGGCGTGCAGGCCTGCACGCCAGTCTACACTCTGTAGATTGGCGTGCGGGCCTGCACGCCAATTTTCTTTGGCGTGCAGGTGTGCACGCCAATCCGCACCTGGCGTGCGGTTTGGCGTGCGCCAGGGGGGCTGGCGTGCGATTATCAAGCCCCAATTTACAATGATCAGTTTGTTTCAGGCCAAACCTGATCTTCAACTATCCAATGCATCTCAATCCACCCTCCACACAGGTTTATCACATTTTTGACTGGACTGGCCTTGCTCAGTTTGTTTTCCTGCTGTGCTTGTTCCCAATATTTTTATAAACTTCAGTCAAACTCATCATTCCTGTCCAATTGAAACTGCCTTCCAATTAAATTTGAGTAACATCATAATCTCCATGAACTTATGAAATCTATGCTGCTTGCTCTTAGGATAAGGAATCAGACAGTCTGGATTATGTTCCCTGGATAGGTATACCTTAGGGGATATAGAAATGATATTCTGAATGAGCACAGAGTCTTAAAATACTGTGATGATGTGGTCCTCACAAAATTAATCTGGGAAAATTGTAATTGGCAAAACCACTGCTTCTCATTGAGGCAGTTATGATGAGTCAAAATTCACTGAAAATTTTGTAGAAATGAAACACATGGATTGGAATAAAAAATTCATTACCTTGTGCTATGTAATTACTAATAATCAAGAATTAAATGTGGTTGATTTTGAAATGAGATTGTTTAATCTTATCCCATCTCAAGCTGTCTCTTTAAAGTTTTTCATTCTTCTCATCATTATTTGATTTATATTGGATGAAACTAATATTTAACTTGTGTAAGATACCTTTGGCACAATGTTCCACTATAATGATTAAATATCATGCATATTATGAAGTACATATAATGTGAATCTTGTTGGAAAGAATTGGAACTCATGAGCCGGAAAGATCAGCCAATCTTAGCAGGCAGTTCAAGATTAATCTGGCAAATGGGTCTTCAGCTATTGCAAACATGAAAGTAAAATTCAACCTGAATAGACCTGTGGGTTATGTAGCAAACCAAAAAAATAACACCTAAAGATCTTGGTGAAGAGGCAAATAACACCAAGTGAAGTAATCTGCAACCCATTTGTCAAAGGTCTAATATGACTCACTATGACTATTTTGCCTGAAGTTGAGAAGAAAATGTGATGCTGATCATAATACAATTGTGAAAATCACAAGAATTTGCTTCAGAAAACCAAAAAGGGAAGTGGAAAGATATTATCATGGTGGCTTCTCATTCTGTGAGCATGAGTCAGATTGTCAATTTGGTGCCATGGCAATAAAACTAGGTAATTTGCTTTTTTTAACATTTTTTCTGTTATTACATAATACATATCTCTTATGGTTTAATGAACCACACAAACTTCAAAATTCAGTGTTATTCTTGATGGATGAACAAACCTTGTGGACTTGGAATAATCTCAGGCTAGCTCACTTTGATCTGGACAGGAGTGATCTAGAACCTTAATTAGAAGGCACTAACTTGGAATAGATGAAACACAATTTTACAAATTTATACCCTGCAGTTACTGGCCTAATATATCCTTTCCATCTGTTGAGGTAAAGGGTTTGTATTTTTTGCAATGTGAGAAACCAAGAAAGAATGGTGCTCCTAAATTCTAATGTAACATAAATGATTCTGAGAAACAGCAGCCTACTGTAACAAGCAGAATTTTTAACTGTCCACTGCCCACTCATTTTTTACTTGATAGTAGTTGTGTTACTTACTTAGTTCAGCTTAAAAAAGAAAGAGTATAGAGTGATGGATCACCAGATTTAGAGTACCAATGGTGTGGTTGGAACCAGCTTGGTCATCTCTCTCATCTCTTATTGATGCTTCATGAGGCTCTTAATCCTAGACAGATCTTATACTTTGATTCTGATCAGACCAATTGCATTTTTGCTTTGGTGCGATTGTAATGACCCGCTGTGGGATGCTTTATGGTATACCATATTGCTAAAATAAAAATTTTATTCATTTTCTCTTTCTTAGTCTATTTTTCTCTATTTTTCTTTAGTTATCACTCTATATCTCTATTTTCTCTATTTTTCTCTTTAGTATCACTCTATATCTCTACAGAATCAAAATCTATGGCTCAAAATACCCTTACTAGCCACTTAAAGTTTATTCATAGCTCTACTCTCTCACACTCTACATCATTAATGGCACTGACACCCATCATTTACAACCCTCAAGGCTACAGATACAGGATACATTGACAGGAAGCAACTACACTCAACATACATAAGTCCTGCATGACCAGTACAAAAGTATACATGCAGGCACAGCAACTTGCATGTGTGGCTTGTCACTGCCTAGCAACTGCATATTACATCATTAAAAACATTACACAACCCTGCAGAACACACATCAAGCCCTAACCAATCACAAGCACTCATTCAGCCTGCAGCAAACCTCACACAAGGCTGTACAATTCTGACCAATCACAAGCACTCATTCAGCCTGCAGCAAACCTCACACAAGGCTGTACAATTCTGACCAATCACATTCAACCATTCAACATATGTATTCCTGATGTACCTAGTCACACTGCCTCATGTAGTGCCCCCCTTGGGGCTAAAATACCTCACTCTTGTCTATATAAGGAGGCTCTCCTCCCCCCCAGTTGTATCTTTTTTCTTTTCCCCAGCAGAGTACTGCCCTCAGCAGAGTACTGCACCAGTGTTTCCCCTATAACATTACCCACCTGCTCAACATTATTATTATACTCTCTTACAAATTGACTTACAATACCAACCACCATTGAAATTACAATTAGTACACACCTCTCAACACTTATATAATTACCCAACCCTTATTTTTGGAGCCCCTTCATCCAACTTGCACCTGGTTGAAGCCTTGGCCCTTTCAGTACATATTAATTACATATAAATACCTTACACGACATACCATCCACGGCTCAGACGACAGTTATCTTTTGATAACACTCCACTATCACTATATAAACCTGCCAATCTGAGATTGGTGGGCTTGTTTTAGTGTCTAGTGAACCAGGAAAGGCAGAGGCAACCTCACACATCCCTTTCCGCACTCAGCAAAAGATTCTCAGGAATACTTTTGAGCTTAACAAGGGAGTCCCCAACGTGATAGAGGATCCTGTCGTTTGGCACGCGGATCAAACATTTGTGAAACACTATAGTGAGAACTAGTAGTGTATTTCAGTTAAAAGTGTGTTAGTTAGAGGCAGGAAACTTACCTGTTTTGAAGAACTGAACAAACCTATCCTGAACAAGCAAAGTTCAATCCAACTTTTTTTACGATAAAGTTCATATATATACCTAGTAGGGTCGGACTAAATAGTTAACTGCTTTAAAAAATCAAGTTATATTAGAAGACGAAAGGGACCGGCTAAGCTGACGTACAAGTAGTAGGATATAGATTTTAACTACCAAGGTGGTAGCCGATAAGCTTGTGCGGGCGGACTGTAGTCTAAGACAACTTTTCAAGGATCTGTATAATTGAAGAATAACGGAGTAGCATATTATTTGGTTTTTGATAAATTTAGTAAAACCCCTCAGCTTGCCCTGGATAGAAACGCCAGAGAACTTAGTTTTTTGTTAGTGATATTAAGACTACTATTAGGCAGATATTAAAACTCATTCGATAAGAAAAAGAAAATTGAAATAAGTGAAACTCAGGCATGGCTTTTTCACAAAATCAAGATTTGGAAGGAGCCCTACCAACAACCAACCCACCGTCAACAGGAATATTCTCTGGCAATCAAAATGGTCAAAACATGAATATTGATCCACCACCACCACCAATGAGCCATAATCGCATAAGGCATAACAGGACGTATGGAATTAACCGACACACACAATCAGCAAACACTTCAACCGGAAATCGACCTGGACCAGGAGGAAACCTTGGAAATGGAACTTACGGCATACCCGCGGAAAATGAAGAACCTCAAGAAATGGACGAACCCAGGCCGAGACCTGCGGTTATTATCAAGGAAGCGGACCTCAAGTACGATGGCGAAAACTTTGAGGATTTTTTGGACAGATTCGAGCTAGCAGCAGAAATATACGGTGCTGGCGGCTTTGATAAAGCACGTCAGGTGTGTAGATTTGTGAAAAGCAAAGAATTGAAAAAGGAATTAGAGTCAATGGACGGCTATGATACCCGCAACTGGACAATCTTGCGAGCTAGCATGATGGAACTCTGGGGAGGGGTAAGTAAGAAAATCCGTTACACACTCAAAGACCTTTATAATTTAATTGATTTCTGCCAGAAGAAAGGTGGAGTCAAAACAATTAATGACTTTAAAACTTATCAGTCAAAGTTCATGATGATAACAAAGTATTTAGTCAGAAATGAACATATTTTTAGCGAGACCAGTGTCTCTCACCTATTTTTCTTAGCATTCTCAGTAGACGTACAAACCAGCATTAACAGAGAATTGGTCAAAGCAGACCTCAGACCCACTGGAAAGGATGGTTATAATAAGCCCCCTCTTTTGGCAGATGTTATTGATGTGGCTGAAGATGAAATTTGAGCTAGATCCATAAATGCATTTGCTGCAAGTGGTTTTGCTGAAGCCAATCACATGATGCAGAGGAGTCTGGATCAGAAGAAAGGTGATGGAAAAAAGCGTGAGAAGATGGTAGAGGAAAATCCTCCCGAAATGCTTCAAAAACAGGTTGATAACTTGGCAAAAGCCATTGAAACACTTACTGGAAAATTGGAAAATCAACCAACTACAGAATATTCACGTGGAAACGAACGAACAACTGGACGACTTTATGATCCCCGGCCCTGTGCCTACTGTCATAGGGAAGGACATTCAACTTACACCTGTTATGAGGCTCAAAAGGATGAAAAAGAAGGAATAGTCAAGCGAGATGGGCGTGACTTCTGTCTTCCAAATGGCGACAAAATCCCATGGAATCCTTCCAGACCAATTCGAACTGTAGTAGCAACCAATGCTGCAAAACCAAAACCTCAGATCAACTCAGTTTTCAGGATTAATTACCCTGCTTCATCGGAAATCAGAAGAGAAACTCAGGAAGAAATTGAATGTATAACTTCTCTCCACAAAATTGAATGGGAACCACCTAGAGTAGGATCTTCCAGTTCTAAGAAAATAAAACTTGAATCTAATGCAGCAACGACTCGAGCAGAAGCGCTCCGTGGACGACGCAAACCTCCAGCCGAAAAGGACAACTCAGCAATGGACGTAGATCAAACCGATGAACTTGAAGAAATCATACAAGACATTCCAGCCACTCGGAAAACGCCAGGACAAATTTCGGACCCTCAAGGGAAATCAACAGCTCAAAGAGGGGACAAGACCGTAGAATCAGAATTGCTATCAGAATTGGACAACTTAAGAATACCAACCACTTTTTCACAACTCACGTCAATTTCACCAACATATGCTCAAGAGGTTATCAAGAAACTCCAGAAACGACTCCCGGAACATCAAAATTCTAAATTAACCTACGTAAAATAAAACACACTAGCCCCAAAGGTATCAGCATCAATGCTTCTCAATATGGATGAAGAAGATCGGGAGTATAACTGCTTCTACAGTTGTGCTCTAGGATACATTGACACTCATATATCTGGAAGAAAGGTACAATTTATGATTGACTCAGGTTCCATGGTCAATGTAATTCCAAAGCAAGCTGCCATTGATCTTGACTTAGAAGTTGTAGAAGTTGACATACCTATGAAGGGTATTGGTGGAGATCAATGTGACATCAAAGGAGTAGTAGAAAACTGTACCATTAGTATTGGACGCTTTACAGGACCAGTACACCTTTTTGTCTCTCCACAAGCTCAAGATTGCATCCTTGGAAGACCTTTCTTATTTGATTACGATTGCACACTCAATTATCCGGGAACTGGCGAGTTACTATCTTTTCAAGGTGATAGCGGACGGCGTATAACTGTACCTATAGCAAAATTAGGACACGGAAGAGGATGGAATCAGCTCAAAAATCTCAATTCTAATTCAAGTCAAATACCAGTCTTGGCCATGAATCTTAAAAATGGCTTGCACAAAATTCCAGAATCAGTAGTCAATGATTCACCCAAAACCTTTGTAAAAAAGGGTTTTTGGGCCAAAAGTTTTGAATATATCATTAAAATAAATTACTTACTGACCTTAATTTTTTCAGCCTTTGTTTCTTTTACAGCATTTTCCTTTCAAGTTCTCAAACTGGGATGGGCAAAAGTAGAACCTTTGGTCAAATTCTCATCCAGAAAAACAACCAAATTCCTTTTAGCCTCTGGGACCTATTTATACAGATCCATCAAATCAGTTATGATTGAATTTGGCACCACCCTGTTCAATACGGTGAAAAAGCATTTAGCAGATCAGAAACCAAAAACTCCTGATTACCCAGAATTGAAGTGGCAAGGATATCTTCCATCATTTCTTTCAGATCAAATCTCTAAATGGAAAAATAAACTTACACGGGACACACAGGACCTTGGAAAAATTCCACCAGATAAAATTTCAGAGGAAGCTTGCAAAAACATAGTCAAAGCCAGGATGGGCTCCATTATATACTTGGATAGAAAAATTTCCCATCAATTACGGCGGCCATTGGACCCAGGTGACATACTTCTAATCTACAAGAAAATTTTGGAAGATCAAGAGGCTTTCTTTAGATACTGGGGACCAGAAAATGGAGGTACAATTGAAGCGACCTCTGGAACCTGGAGAATTAATCTTATTTTATAACAAAATTTTCAAGGAAAAGTTAGCTTTACATATCAAACACTTTTACCCACCAGAAAATGTTTTGGAAAAGATTTTAGAAAACAACTACAAACCAGGTCTGGGGATTCATCAAAAACCAGGATATCACAATGCCAAGGACAATCCAGATAATCCAGACAAAATTCTTGATGGTCATAAAAAACTAAAAAGGATATCCAGGTTGCTTGGAATAATAACTAACTCCTGGGCAAGAGACTAAACTGTTCAACTGTTCAATTGTTCAACTGTTCAATTGTTCAACTGTTCAATTGTTCAACTGTTCAATTGTTCAACTGTTCAATTGTTCAACTGTTCAATCATTCAACTGATTTCAATCATCCAATTTTTCAACTTCTCAATCCTCGTTCAAAGTCACAAAAAAAAAAAAAAAAAAAAAAACTTATCTGTTCAAATTATTTTTTTTCAAGTTGGGGGAGAAAATTGTAACTTATCACTTTTTTCTCCCATCCCATCATTTTTTATCCCATTTTTTTCAATATCTTCTCTCAATCACTCATATCACTTTTTTTTTTTTTTTTTGAAGTTATAGTTCTGTTACTAACCCAAGAATCTGTCTTGAAGGTTGAGGACAACCTCCTAAGTTGGGGGAGGGGTACAGTATTATTCCTTTAGTCACTACACTTTATCAAAAAAAAAAAAAAAAAAAAAAAAAAATCTTAATAGCTTAGTAATAGGCCATTTTTTTAGCCTGCAAATATTTTAACTCATCACCAAGTTTAAGAGTTGGGGGAGGAGAATTATTCATAGTTCTTTTCTCAAAATATCACCATTGCATCATTCTATATACTTACAATCTCATTTCAGCTTTTTAACTAACTTGAGTCTTTTCTAGCTATCATTAAAAACAACAACAAAATGACAGTGCTGGACGGATTCCGATTCGATTCTAAGAGTGGATTACAGATTTGAAGATGACAAGAATCCAAGCGGTCAATGTTATGTTGATAGATCATAAACCATTCTAGGTACAAAGAGGACGATGTTGATGAAGGGATTGCGACTTAACTTGAACGGACTCAGAGGATGAATGATCGCTCGGATCAAGGGCAGATTCAACAGATTGATGGTCGCTTTCTTGGATCGAGAGCAGATTTATCGGATTGAAGGTCGCTCGCACGGAAACCGGAAGAAAGAGCGGCTGAGAAGCCCTCTTTTTTATAATCTTTACAGTATCCGACAATAACGAATAACCGAGAAGAAGTCAGCTTACCTGTAACCTAACCACTGAAAGAGGACTAACGCAACACGCTACACCTCATCGTGAGCGGATCCTGGCCAATGATCTTGTTCGATTCGGTGGAGGGAAGAAAAATGAAGCAACCCGGCGAGTCCTGACCAATAGGAAGGCAGGACTCAGTGTTAATAGAACTTCTTAGAAGAAATGAAATATATAAAGTCACTTACCTACGACCGACGCATCGAAAATCCGATCGAAGTCGCCAGAAGAAGTCGGAAGCCCCGGTTGGTCGAGGATGTTGGCGGTATCGATCAAGAGTCGAATCGGCTGGCTGGTGCCCGGAGTCAATTGAACTCAGACGCGCGACGAGCACACTGCTGCGCTACTGCGGCCGCAGGAGGCTTTTTGCTTTAAGCACTGCATTACTTTTTTTCATTTTAAACAAAACCAGACAAAAACTGGTTCAACAAAACTAAACTAAACAAAACCTGGCAAAACCAGGTAAAACCAGGCATCATCATATAAAACCAGGTAGAACCTAAGTAAAACCAACAACCCCTGACAAAACCTGATAAAAACAGGTAAAATCAGGTAAAATCAGACAAAAACTGGTGAAATCAAACAAGCAAAAGGGTTAAAACCCCTATATAAGCCAGACAAAAACTTGCTTGAGGACAAACCAACTGCAAATAACATAAAAACACTCAAAAATAAAAATAAAATAAAATACAAAAATAAAAATACAAAAATACAAAAATATATACAAGAATATTAAAAATGGGCTATTTAATTTTCCTTCAAAGTTGGGGGAGGAAACTCTCACCTGGTTAACCACCTGCCCTACCAGCCATAAACAAGGAATAAAATTAAAAATTTCACACTTTATCAATTTCTCTGCTTCAAAATCTTCAAGTCTTTTCATCAACAATTCTTTCTCATAAAAATCCAAAAAAAAAAAAAAAAAAAAAAAAACTCAACATCATAAAATCAAAACTCTCAACATCACCAAACTCAAAAATCTCAACAAAACACAACTCAGAAGGCTATCTTAAAAATACCACAAAACAATTCATCAACAACATCAGATCACAAACACGCGACTACCGGAATTCACAACAACAACCACACCAGTAATAAAAATCCAGAACTCCTGAACACAAAAGCAAGAAACAACACCTCTGGCACTTCAAGAATAAATTAATATCTCCAACCAACACAAAGACTCAATTTAAAATACCAGTAACTCTCCTAAGGCATTGTCTGGGGACAGACAATAAGTTGGGGGAGGATGTGGGATGCTTTATGGTATACCATATTGCTAAAATAAAAATTTTATTCATTTTCTCTTTCTTAGTCTATTTTTCTCTATTTTTCTTTAGTTATCACTCTATATCTCTATTTTCTCTATTTTTCTCTTTAGTATCACTCTATATCTCTACAGAATCAAAATCTATGGCTCAAAATACCCTTACTAGCCACTTAAAGTTTATTCATAGCTCTACTCTCTCACACTCTACATCATTAATGGCACTGACACCCATCATTTACAACCCTCAAGGCTACAGATACAGGATACATTGACAGGAAGCAACTACACTCAACATACATAAGTCCTGCATGACCAGTACAAAAGTATACATGCAGGCACAGCCACTTGCATGTGTGGCTTGTCACTGCCTAGCAACTGCATATTACATCATTAAAAACATTACACAACCCTGCAGAACACACATCAAGTCCTGACCAATCACAAGCACTCATTCAGCCTGCAGCAAACCTCACACAAGGCTGTACAATTCTGACCAATCACATTCAACCATTCAACATATGTATTCCTCATGTACCTAGTCACACTGCCTCATGTAGTGCCCCCTTGGGGCTAA